CGAGTCCGAGTCTCTGTCACCGCCCCCAGGGTTATCGCCCCCAACCCTGCCCGGGCCCGCTCCGCCCTCAGCACCAAGATGGCGCCGGCCCGCCCTCAGCCCACACCGCGCTGACGTCACTGCCCCGCCCCTCGCGCGGGGCGGCGCGTGCGCGGCCCCTCTCAAGGTCAGCGCGGCCGCTGCCGCCGTCGGTTCCGCCCGGCGCGGTTCCGGTTCCGGCCCCGGCGTGCGGACAGGAGGACATGGCGGCGCTCGGACGGGTGTCCCGCCTGCTGCTCGGCGCCGCCGCCCCGCGCTCCCTGCCGGCGCGCGGCATGGCGGCGGCCGCGGCACACGAGGAGGGCGGAGGTAACGGGGCTCTGCGGGGCGAGGGTGGAGCCGGGGCCCGCGGCCGGCGCGGCGCTGCCCTTGACCGCCGGCGCCCTTCGCTGCGGGAGCGGGGCACGGCGGGCGCTCGGTGTGAGCCCCGATCCCTGTTACACACCGGGAGGGCACCCGCGCTGGAGCGTGGGACGCGGGGTTCGTTAGCGCCTCGTTAGGGCGCTAATTAACGCGCGTGCCGCCCGTGGCGCCGCGGTCGTTCTGATCGCTGTCCCGCCGCCCCGCGCAGCCCGCATGTGGAAGACCTTGACGTTCGTGGTGGCGCTGCCCGGCGTGGCCGTGTGCATGCTGAACTGCTACCTGAAGGCCCGGCACGAGCACGAGCGGCCCGAGTTCGTGCCCTACGCCCACCTCCGCATCAGGACCAAGGTACTTGTGCCCGCGGGCGCGCAGCCCCCTCCGGCACGGCTGCACGCTTCCCCCGAGGCTGCCACAGCGCCTTTTCCGTTCTCGGCTGCTGCATGAGGGGGCTGTGATACCAGCTCGTGGCTGGTTCTGAGGCAGTTCGTCACAGGTCTGATGAAGTACCCGTGATATTCACAGGCCCTCCCACCCCAAAGTGATCCTCCTAATGTCATGCTGAAAAATGTTTCAGTCCTAGAGCTGCTGTACTTAAACTAAGCAGTTGAGATCCCAGCTACTCGAAACTGGGGTCCTCATAATACAGCACAGTGTTTAAATAAGAGCAAAGAGTGTGCTGTTTAGAGACTCTGGCTCCCAGCTAAGGGAGAGAGTTTTCCAGCTCTTGCTTCCTGCATCCTGGGAGCCAGCTTGCCTAATTCACCAGCCTGACAAACTGTGATCATAGAATAATTTAGGTTAGAAAAGTCTTCTGAGATGGAGTCCAACCTTCGACTCATCTCCACCCTGGCAACCAGATCGTGGCACTAAAGTGCTACATGCAGTCTGTACCTAAACACCTCCAGGGATGGTGACCCCAGCAGCATGGGCAATTTATCCCAATGTTTAGTAACCCTTTTTGTCAAGAAATTCCTCCTGATGTCCAGCCTGAACCTTCCGTGGCACAGCTTGAGGCTGTTTCCTCTTGTCCTGTCACTAATTGCCTGGGAGAGTTGATGTTTGAGTCTGTACTGTTCTTGGTTTCAGGTGCTGGCAGGGATTGTTCAGGAGCTGCCACTGGCTTATTTTCTTTCTTCTTTCAACAGCGTTTCCCCTGGGGTGATGGGAATAAAACTCTGTTTCACAACCCCCACGTTAACGCTCTCCCAACTGGTTATGAAGATTAAAACCAAGATCCTGACAACAGCCAGAACTTTGGCTCTCCCCATCTTGAACCAGAATGTTGAGTGGGAGCCATTTCTGGGGTCACAGTTTCAGAAACTCTGTGTTTCCTCTGCGATGAAGCTGAGTGGTGTTGTGGCCCTCGTGTGTACCTGTGTTGGGGTCCTTTAAATAAACAGTTCTGAACGTGAGTTTGGGATCTGACTGTTTACCTGAATCCTTAGGAACTTTTTAGTTTGGTGTTGGCATGCAGCATTAAGGTTTCCCCCAGGACAGAGGGCAGGAGCAAAGGGGTTTGACTGCCTGAATGGTAACACATGTTCCTGTGTCGGGTAACACAAACAACAGGAGTGCACTTGGCATAGGACATGAAGCAATTTCATATTCTTCATGTCTGCTTTAACTGATGACTCTAAACTCACAGCCAGAACAACAGATCCGTAGATTAAAATTCAATTTATACACGTTCTCCATTATCAGCTTTTGCAATATTTATTAACAGTCATGAAGGAGATTTTCTCTTGGTCCCTTCTGGCACAGGGAGTGGCAGCAAAACTGCCTTCACACTGTTCACCTTCAGCTCTCAAATTTTCAGGTACATCAGCACAGATCTTGCTCACCACTCTGCTTTCCATAAAGCTGCATTTCTGTACAAAGTCTCTCGCGCAGGTTTTGCAGAAGAAAACACAATTTTGGTTCTACTGCTTATGTCTGTGTAGTGTGTACTGTGTCATGCAGAAGCTGCCTGAAGCAGAAGGGATTACTGAGCCAACAGCCTGAGCCTGTACAACTTTCATTTTCAAGTTTTCAGTCATTACAAGTCAACCATTTTCCAGTTTTTATTCTAACTTCTATATTTTTTGCACAATGTGAGCTCTGTCTCAGCTGTCATTAATGTGGTTCTTCCCAGAAGGTAGAACACAGCAGCTGCTTTGGCATCTTGCTGTTGAAAGGAGTGATGGATGGCAAGAGAGAATCTCAAAGTGGCACTGCAGGATGCCCTTCCCCACATTTCCATGTGATTTTTTTTTTTTTGTCTGCTTACCAGTAAAAGATTGTTAAGACAAGTTTTCCTGTGTTGAAAGTACAAGGCACTGATGGGCACAGTTGTTTTAAAGCTGACAAAGTCACATTATGTTTAGCCCTACATGAAGATCACAAAAGTAAACTGGTTTTGTGTGTTATTCCTTAAAACAGAAAAGCTACAGAGTCAACTGTCCCCAAAATGCTATTTATAGATCCTTCCCTTAGACCTGCTGCACTTGGCCAACAGCCTGTTTTTTCAGTGCTGTATTTGAGCCCTGTGCTGACACCATAGGAGCTCTCTGCACCTGAGAGCAGGATTGTGGCTCACCTGGCTCTGGGACCAGCACAGGCACAACAGCCTCAGGCTGCAGAGTTCCTGATCCTCTGCACAAGGCCCACAGGTCTCACTGTCTGGGGGCTGTGGTGCAGACAGGCCAGCTAAAATGCTGGAGAATGGCACCTTTTTAGGTTTTTTTTTAATAGAACCTTTAAATAATTAGCAGTAATTAAAAACAGAGAGCAAAGCTTTCTTTTTCCCTCACTGTAATTCTAGAATTATGAAGTTATCTTTTGTCCCCAGGCCATAATATCTTTTTTACCTGTGTTGTGTAAGGAGAGGGGCAAGCTTTGCCCCCTGCCTGTGTGAGGATCAAACCACAGCAATGTGTAATGCTAAAGGAGAGAGAATTAAAGTTCATGGATGTGTCAGTACCTCAGAAAAGGATGAAGTGGCCTCTGCATTAAAAGTGTTCTCTTCAGCTGCTGAGCAGGCCACTTCAGTCCCTCCTGGGGGCACAATCAGACTCCACTGCACAGTTACCTACTTGAACAAAATATAACCTGGTTATATTTATTTGAGCCAAGCCGTTGCAGGTCCACTAGTGCTCTTAAACCATCTCTGCAGCTGACACAAAACAGTGCTTAGCCCATCAGGATTCAGCATTACATTAAACTAATTTCTTCACCAAAATTCAGCAGCATAGAGATGACAGAAAATACATGAACCCCCTTCATATTCTTTTTAAACACTTTCAAGTGTTATATAAATAAGCAAGAGAAATCAGTCACAAAGAACCCATCCCAGCCCACTCCAGCCAGCATTCCCCACGGCAGAGTACATCCAGCAGGAAGTTAGTTCACATGGATTTGTAAGCCTTTAGATGCTGAACCACCACCACCACCAAGTTTCACTGGCAAGGAGGCAGCAGTTACCACATGATCCAGTCTCTGTTTTTTCTTTGAGCTGTTTGTTTTCACAAGCAGAGAACATTTGTCACTTCCTAGAAAGCAGTTAACAAAGGTCTTCTCCAGGTGGCACCTGGGGCACACCTGGTGATGGTGCTCAGTCCAAAGGCTCCTGTTAGTGACTCCACCCATCAGCCAACATCAAGAGGAGTTCTCAGTTTTTCCTTTACTGGGGCCCATGAACTCCAGGCCCTCAATGGGTATGTCCTTTTCCTTGATTGCTTTCTGAAAAGAAGAAAGCCAAATAATTAAACTCAGCACTTCTCTTTAGTGCCACATGAGGTTATTCTTTGGTACAATACACAGAACCACAGAATCAGGCTGTAAAACACCTCTGAGATCATCCAGTCCAACCTATGAGTCATAGCACCGTGCCAACCAGACCATGGCCATGCCCAGGCTCTCCTTAAACACCGACTACACCTGCCTGGGCAGCCCATTCCAATGTCTGATCATCCTTTCTGTGAAAAAACTCCTCCTCATGTCCAACCTAAACCTCCCTGGGGCAGCTTAAGTCTCTAATCTCTTGTCCAATTCACTTGTTGCCTGAATAGAAATCATTTAAAAACACAACTGACCTAGAAAAAGTAGTCCTAAAGGCTGGTTTGAATAAAGCTTCAATGTTAGAGTTGCTGAAGGATGTTCTGAGAACTCACTGAACTACAGCTGGTGTAACAACCGTGCTGCAGCCTCAACACATCAGCCTTAACAAGTCGTGTACAATAAAAATAGGAAACGCCTATGAAATATTCATGTCGTGACGGACAGACACAGGGCGAGGTAAACCCAGCGCTGCGTGTCGGGGTCTGGCGAGGCCCGCGGCTGCCCGGGCACGGGGCAGGCCGCGCGGGGCAGCGAGCGAAGGGGCCCGGGGCGGACGCACCTGCACGCAGAGCTGGTAGCGCTTGAAGAGCTGCCCGCAGGGGTCGCCGGCGCTGTCGCCCTTGAGGAACTTCTCGGCGAACCAGCGGTTGAAGCACTGGTCGTACTCGCGCTTCAGCTCGGTGCACGCCTCGCCCACGCTGTTCATCGCGGCGGCCGCGCCGGGACGGACGGGCCGGGCCGGGCGCGCCGCCCACTGACGCACATCCGGCGCGGCGCTGGCGTCACGCGCGGCTGCGAGGCGGGGGCGCGATGCGCGCGCTGCTCCTCGGGCGGTGGCTCCGCGCCGGGCGCGTTCCCTCACGGGGCTGCCCGCGCACGGCCGGCCGGCACGGCGGGCACCGCGGGCACAGCGAGCACTGCGGGCACAGCGAGCACCGCGGGCACGGCGGGCAGGGACCGCCCCGGGTAACACTGCAGGGACCGCCGCTCCGCCCGTCACGGGGCGGGCAGCGGGCGCGGGATAAAACACCGGCTGATTTCCCGAGACAGGGACGGCAATCAGCGGGTCCCTGCGCGTGTCTGTTCCAGCCTTAACGATTTTAGGATTCTTTGTAAACTCCGGTTTTGACGTGTAACAAGTTTCTAATTAAAAGAAAGTAGCAATATTAAACTTGTTAGTTTTTGACTTTTTTGTCCCTGTTGATGCCTTTGTACAGCAGAAAGTGTCGGTGGAAGTGCTGGAGCACTTGGAGCACCTGGCCCTGGTGGATTTCCGGGACTCGGAGGGCGTGGAGCGGCTGCAGAAAGCGATCCAGTTTGCTGATCAGCTTCAGCAAGTGAACACCGACGGCGTGGAACCCATGGATTCAGTGCTGGAGGACAGGTGGAGAACCACAGCAGCCTCCTTTTATCTGTTCATGCATCAAACTGTTTGTTTCTGTGACCTTTTTTCCCTGGGAATCACCATGCATGCAGCCCCTTTGCTCAAAACGTCTTCCTGTGGCTCTGTGTGGGAGAAAGTTGTCATTGGCTTGTGTAATATTTATGTGTGAGCAGAGCAAAGGTGACCTTCAGTTCTTTAATGTGCCTCAATTGTCACACTGCTCCCCAAATGCCTGCCAGTGCCATTCTTGGGTGCTTCAAAATGTTCCAGTACTTGTCTCAGTGTTTATTTAAGAGGCCAACACCAGATTTAGAGATAAGCCACCCTTCCTACTTACTTCCTATTCACAGAACAGCTTGAAGACAACCAGTAATCTTTGTCCTTCAGGTGTCTGTATCTCAGAGAAGATGATGTGACAGAAGGCAACTGCACCAAAGAGCTGCTGGAAAATGCCAGAGAGAAAGTAGAGGAGTATTTTGTGGCTCCACCAGGTATTGACTTGCTTACAAAAATCTCTTAATCTCGCCTGAATTCACATGAAGATAATAACCTGCCATAGCTGCATTTACTTTCAGAAATACTAGTCAATAATAGGGAGTACTGAAAGAAATGACTGTAGCCATCTGTGTAAAAAAATGTGCAATGTATTGGTCCAGGAGCAGCACAGAGGCTGACCTGACTCTGCAGTTACTGCACATGTTGAGAAATTCCTTACAGGAGGTCAGGCAGGACGTACTTCCTGACTTTCTCAGGATATCTAGGCAGTCTGTACATGGAGTAAACTGCAGAAACACTTCCATGCCAAAGTGTTCTGCCCACAAGGTAACTTAGAGCTGGTCTCACACAACTTGTTTTATGTTTTCTCTCAGGTAACATCCCTTTACCAAAGCTGGAAGAACGAGAGACTTTTCTGCAGGGCTCTCAGTGACAGCCCAGAGCCCAAATGCCCTTTCAGTATTTTATCTGGGGAAAATGGAAGTTTTGTGCAGTCACACCCTGGCATGTATTTTGGTCAGAAGAAGAGCATTTGCAAGACAGAAGAAAGAAAGTGTAAAAGTTTAGCAGTGCTGCTGAAATATTCAATGTCTCTGAAGCTGGGCAGCAGCATGGCAGATGACCTTGGTGGTTTTATTTGGCAAAGTGAATTTGCTGTCTGGAGGTGAGAGCAAACCCTTGTCCCACTCTTAATTGTGCAATTACCTCATTATTTGTTTAAGCATCCATAATATACTCACCTAGATGCATGAAACAGGTAATTACTGTGACATTTGAATTTTTTCAAGGGTATTGAAATAAAGCCTGTATTTAACACCACTAATCCAATCCTCTGCAAAGCTGTGACACTGTATTATTGCTTTAGTCTCAGACTTGTCAAGATCCAGACCCTGCAAATGCTGAAGTTTTGCAAATATACAAGCTCATCCTGTAAGTAATTTAAGATGTGTATAGAAACCATGACAAGGAAAGACTTCAAATATCTATCAATCAATATGATTAATACCACAATCATAATATCAGGTAATTCCCACTTTGAGACTTCCCCCCTGATCTGTCCATTTTGGCCTCTTGCTTTCACCATCACACAGAATGAGGACAATATTATTTACACAGAAAAACGAAGAGGAATTTGAGAGGGAACTGCATGGCTGCAGGAGCTTTTAACCCAAAATAGCATCAAGTAACTATTTAAAGGCAACAACTAAACCAACAATTTGGACAAGATGATCCCACATTCCCAATGCAGCACAGGCTAAACTTAAAACTGCCAGTTCAGTGCTGCTCCCACACACTCCTGGGAGAGAACAGACTGCCTGATGCTTGTTCCCTGCAGCCCAAACTGCATTTAAAGTGGAAAACACACATCTCCTTAATGAAGGGGTTTGGTGCAACTTCACCACAAATGAGGGAATTATAGCCTTGACTCAGACACCTGCAACCACCAAAAAGAAAAGCTCCCAGAGGGCAGATGAGCTGCCTGTGGGGCAGGGCATGTCAGTGCCTCAGTGGGTCTAACAGGGTGGTGCTGAGCCCCACTGGGCCCTGGCTGCACTTCGAGAGAGGGAGAGACATTCCTTGTGCTGGTTCCCCTCATTCACTGCAGCACTCAGTACATGGATCCAGTTTCTCTGGAGACCATGGGGATAACCTTGCTTAGAGCTGCTGACATTTTTCCACCACCACAAAACTGTAGATGTAAAATTGGATTGGAAGTCCTCGCACATAAATCCCAGGTTTACAAAGAAAATGTCAATGTGGAGATTTCTTCGCCTTTGTGGAAAGAAAAAGAAGATGGAAGTTGTTTTATTGGTAATAATGATTATTTTATGTTTTGGTGTTAACTAGGAGGCCCAGGAAAAAGCTCTGTTAATACAGTGATAGGTTGTGCAACACGAGTGCAAAACCACCTCATGAAAAGTGCTTACAGCCTAAATGGGAGAGCAATCTCATGAGATACCTTATCCATTACCCAGTTTTCTTCAGCACCTCCTCTACCCCAGCTATCATCTCCTGTGTTTATTTGTTCTGCCTTTCCCTGCAGCTCTGTCCTGAGGGAAACTGTACTTTTATACTCTTGATTAACAAGTAGGACTCTGATGTATCCCAGCTTTAATGTTTCTCATTAACAACGTGTATCTCACCCACACTGACATTTCCTGCAGTCGTCATCACAGTTGTTCCTTCAGCAAACCATTTAATAAACGCAGAGAAATTTGCCTGCAGCTACCAAACACAACCACCTCCTCAGAGATTCATGGGTGTTTCTGAAGTTCAGTGGAAGCACTTGGAGGATTGTTAAATGGTTCCATTCTGTCAGCACAAAACTGTCCAGTACTCAAAGAACTGCTGCAACTGCTGAGATCCTGAACACAGTTCTGGAAATTAATTACTTACTGTGGCCCCAAGACCTCTCAGAACTTCTTCATGTTTCTAGCACACAAGCAAAGTTGTGAACTGTATCTCTAACTGGAATGCTAAAACCTGTGAGTCAGGAGTTATTCCTGAGGTATTCTAGAGTGACAAAAGTAAACATTTTGCAGTTTCAGTATTTCTGGGGGCAGTGTATACTTCTGAGGTTGCCTTAGAGTTTGCAGAAGCAAAGAGTTGCTTGCAGTTATGCTGCTTTTGCTCTGAATGACACTGAGCAGGTAACTACACTGTATGAATATGCAAAATATTTACATTGCAAGTGAGGTGAATGACTGCTCTTCGGGTGGGTTTTTTTTAAATTTCTACAAGGAAATGGGAGTCCTACCAACCAGTATTTTAAAACCTCTTTAAATCATCCTGTGCTGTTTGCTGTAGCCATGGTTCAGAGTCCTGTAATTAACAGATCACCAGCTGTGGAGGACTCAACAGCAATGTTCTATCTGCTGACAAGAGTGTAAGCAGAAAGTGCCCCAGGGAGAGTGAAACTAAGAAAACAGAGCACTGAGGTTCTACCAAAACATCTTGCTTCATTTAAACAAAAAAACCCCAAAACAAAACCAACCCAACCAACCAACCAAAATAACCCCCAAATCAAACAGAAACAAATAAAAAAAAAAAAAAAAGCAAGAGCTGCAGAAATAGGTCTGCAAAAGATGGTGTAAAAGTCTGATAGATGTGGTTCACTGAAGGAACAAAGTCTGCAGCTGACTTGATCATGCCCAGTAAACATGGGGCTGGGGTTTCTTTCAGAGGTCACTTGGTGTGACCTGAAACCTCTTTAAATCATCCTGTGCTGTTTGCTGTAGCCATGGTTCAGAGTCCTGTAATTAACAGATCACCAGCTGTGGAGGACTCAACAGCAATGTTCTATCTGCTGACAAGAGTGTAAGCAGAAAGTGCCCCAGGGAGAGTGAAACTAAGAAAACAGAGCACTGAGGTTCTACCAAAATATCTTGCTTCATTTAAATAAAAAAACCCCAAAACAAAACCAACCCAACCAACCAACCAAAATAACCCCCAAATCAAACAGAAACAAATAAAAAAAAAAAAAAAAGCAAGAGCTGCAGAAATAGTGAGGTCTGCAAAAGATGGTGTAAAAGTCTGATAGATGTGGTTCACTGAAGGAACAAAGTCTGCAGCTGACTTGATCATGCCCAGTAAACATGGGGCTGGGGTTTCTTTCAGAGGTCACTTGGTGTGACCTGAAAAGAGACAACTGAAAACAGTGAACAGGACAGGTGGTCAAGTGCCATTCACAAGCTATGGAACTGCTTCCTTTGACACGGCTGGGCTTCACTCCCAGTGAAGGGTATGTTACTGAAACAGCTGCCCCAGGTAATATCCCAGTATTCCTGCAGAAATCACATACTATGGAAAGGGATATTTGCAACAGGAGCTTGTTCCAAAGAGAAACAAAGTCTGTTATTGGTTAAACTCAGCATCTCTGTGGTCCCGGCTGGGGCGAGTAATAAAATGGCTTTTGGGGCCCACATATCAACTATGGAAAGGTGTGTTACAGAAGCTGGTGGACACATTACAATGCCTTGGAGACCGGGCATACTTTAAGGAACAAGTTTTTTATCCGGGATCACCTGATGATGCCACACAGAATCACAGAATTAGATTAGAAAAGACCTCTGAGATCATCGAGTCCAGTCGGTGACCGAACACCAGCATGCCAACAGACCACGGCACTCAGTGCCATGTCCAGTCTTTCCTTAAACACCTCCAGGGACAGAGACGCCACCACTTCCCTTGGGCATTGTCTAATCCCTTCCATTGTCTAATCACCAGTTCTGCGAAGACATTCCTCCCCATATCCATCCTAAACCTCCTCTGGCACAGCAGACCAGTAGCACGGGAGTCAGGACTGGAAGCTTTCCATACAGAGCCCAAATGTACGTGACCATCCCGAAACATGCTCCCTGTTCTCCCGTTACCGCCCCGCAGCCCGCCGGTCGCCATGGGAACGGACGCGGCGCGGGGCATCCCGGGCCGCAAGACAACGCTGCAGTAAAACCCGGCCGGGCGCCGCGCCGCAGCCAATGGGCGTTCGGCGACCGGCAGGGCTGGCCAATAGGCGCCCGGGAGGCGGTGCCTTTGACCAATGGGGGCGGCCGGCGCGCAGGGGGCGGGGCAGAGGTGCTGCGAGGCGCGCACGGACCAGAGCGCAGCGCTGTCCGCTCTGCAGCGCGCCGGTCCCGCAGCGCTGGTGCTCGGTGAGGGACGGGGCACGGGCGGCTCCGGAGACTCAGCATCCCGGTACCGGGGACCCCGCGTGTCCCGGCGGCTCCCCCGTGCCGGGGCTCTTCCCCGGCCGCCGCCTCCGGTGTTCCCGCATCGCCGGCAGCTGCCGGCGGCACCCTGCAGCCGCGCGGGCCTCCGAGCCCTGGGCCGCGCGTGCCGGGCTTTCTCCGCCTCGCTCGGGGGAGGGAAGGGCCGTCGGGCCGGGCGATGGAGCGGCCGCGCTCTCTCGCGGAGCTGCCGGGCGGGAGCGGGGCCGGGGAGGGCCGGGAGGGCGGCGGTGCTTGTGTGGCCGCGGCCGGGGAGCGGCTGCTGAGCGTGAGCCGGCGCTGGAGCCGCCGCTGCTCGGGCCGTGCCCGGGGCCGCGCCCGGCGGTGCCTGCGCGGCTGCTTGGCAGCAGGTGGTGATGGCAGGTGCTCCTGCAACTTTGAATTTCCTTCTTCTTTCCTCCAAGCAGGCAATCATGAGTGATCGAAAGGCAGTGATCAAAAATGCGGACATGTCAGAAGAGATGCAGCAAGATGCTGTGGAATGTGCAACTCAAGCTTTAGAGAAGTACAACATCGAGAAGGACATCGCTGCTCACATAAAGAAGGTAAATGTTGGCTTGTAATGTGCTCATGAAAAATCAATTGGGGAGAACGCTGCTAGGCAAGTAGCTCTAGAGAAACGAGTTCTAGAGGCACCAGATAATCAAGTTAGACTTTCTCTCTTTCTGTTCTGTTCTCCACCCTTTACGTGGGCCTTTCTAGGTCCTTCTGCTTACTCTTCTTACCTCTTCTGCCACTGTCCCATTGTCCAGCTGAGCAGAGTGGCAGCTGCCTGTCCCTGTGACTGATGAGCTGGTACCAGACACGGGCTCTGTGCAGCCTATTTAAAGAGTGGTGCTTTGCCGACCATGTAATAAGTGGGTTTGGTTTTTTGCCTTTCTCAACACATGTAAGACAAGCTGTTCATGCTAATGCTGAACAGATGGTTCATAGATTACATTTTGTCACATTTTCTCTCTTGACTCCTACTGAGAGCCCGACTGAGCTGCAAGGAGCTGAAGGGTTTGGTTGAGCAGAACAGAAACTTCCATGTCCTCACAAAATTCTCTCCAGCTGACAGCTGTTAGGTACTGCAGTATAAATCCACTGACTGCATAGGTTTGCTCACTGAAGACCTGTACACAGGAGTTTATTTGTAGTAGGCTCCTGACAGCAGTGTGTCACATCATCATCTCATGACCAGGTGTCAGAGATATGGCAGAGAATTTTCCATCAAGTGTCTTTTCAGCATCCTTATTGAAAAAAAAAAAAAAAACTAATGAAGTCCATTAGCTTCAGAAACAGAAGCTAATACAGAACAATACCAGTTTCATTAGAGATTCAGAACAAGCAGAAAAATTCTTAGAAATTATGGTTTGAGATCATGTCATGACTGTAGGGGAAAAGTTCCCTCCCCAAACATATGTTTTAAGCGTATTCCTGCTCTGCTTGGAAGCACTTTTTTTTTTTTTTGGTATGACTAAGCAGCAGATGAGTTATAAAGTGACAGATGATCCTTGTGCTTAAGAGCATATGCTGCTCCTTAATTGCCTTCTTCCAAAAGTGATACTTGTTATCAAGTGACAAATCATTGCCAAAAAAGCCTCCCCAACTGTTAGACAATATTAGTATAATTACCATGAAAATGCTGACTTTCTAATCCTCTGTTCTGTAGGAATTTGACAAGAAATACAATCCCACGTGGCACTGCATCGTGGGAAGGAACTTTGGCAGCTACGTGACTCATGAGACCAAGCACTTCATCTACTTCTACCTCGGCCAAGTCGCTATTCTTCTTTTCAAGTCTGGTTAGAACCATGGACTGTTACTGAAACTTGCACCTGGGGACAGGACTGCACACTGATTCCCACCTTCAGCCTTCCTGGGGAAACACATCTTGATCTTCAGGTCTTGTATTGTGTTGTTAATGGTCAGGGATTTTGCTCTAGCGGCTGGTATTTTCATTGTGGCTATATAGAAAAGCAGAAATGTCTTCCTTGTATTTATTTTCTTTCAAAAGATGGCTTCTTTGCTAATAAAACTGTTGGAAGAAGTTTATCCCTTTGCCCTCTTGAATTACCCTCTTTATTGCCATGTGAATGAAGGATGAACATCCCCACCTTGATTCCCACACCCCAAATCCATCCTTTCTTAGGAAACTTTCTTACAAGACTGATTTAAGTGGAAAAAAGTTGATGCAGAGCCCTTTTATTTCACAAGCCTTCCATTTGCCTTTGAAAGAAGGAGTCATGGGAAAAAATCCTTAAACTCCACATGACAAAGATAATAACAGCTTCATATAAGTCCATCACTACTTCATAAATCCAAGTTACTTCTCACAAGTATAATATCCTCCTTTAAAGCTTAGTAAAAAAAAGAAAGGCATCTTATTTGGAGACTAATCAGTCTATTTCTTTATCCACACCCACTGCCAACTTGCTTTGCTTGTCAGCATTGCTCAGTTTTGGCCACATCCTTTACACTGCACTTGGAGGAAATGCAAGTGTAAGAAACACCACTGGAGTCACTCCACAGGTTTCTTGGTGGGGGGAGGTAACTTCTGTTCTTCTGAGCCCAGCTGCTGAGAAAGTATCTGCTGCACAACTTCTCAGAACTCCTTTTGATACTGTTAAAATTCTACAGCTTTCATATCCCTCATGAAAATTACACTTTGGGTGTTCTGCTACCCAGACTCACAGTTTGAAACCTGAGTGAATGGCAACAATGCCAAAGTTCAAATTCTCATAATCCACTTTGAAAAAGCCTGCATCTTCTATCATGGCCTTCAGCTCCTCCTGAAAAATAAGTGCCATAAGTATTAACAACCTGAAGGCCAGCAAGCCAGCTGGCCACAAGATGATGCTGGAATTGTGTTTTGTCTGTTAGTGAATTTGGGGAAATCCTGCCTTACCTGAGGGGGGAACTGTCGGATGCTCTCCACAAGATACTGGTAAGACCTCCAGTCACCAGCAATAACCTCACCCAGGACAGGGATAACCTGGAAACTGTAGAGATCATAGAGCCTGCACAGAGAGATGGTAAATATAGATTAACATAAATTTAAATTCCCTCCAACACGAGCTGGTCTCTATGCCACCAGGCTATGCAGTCTGTAGCTGACTTTAAAAGTGCACCAAGATGTGGTCTCAAAGTGCAGATTGACAGAAACAAATTTAAACCCCCTCCAACACGAGCTGGTCTCTATGCCACCAGGCTATGTCAGCTGTAGCTGACTTTAAAAGTGCACCAAGATGTGGTCTCAAAGTGTCTGCACCTCTTATTCTGAGTACAAACAAGAGAGCCTTGTGACATGGCATAAAGCATCACCATGTTCCTACCTGGAAAGAAGAGGGTTGCTGACATGACTAAATTCAAGGCAGAGAAATCTTCCTCCTGGTTTCAGCACACGATAGGCCTCCTGAAGTGCCTGAGACAAAGCAGATGTGATGTTTGCTTCTGTAGAACAGCACCTGCCTATAATCATGCCATGTGATGTTATCATGCAACTGTGATGAACTGAGGGGAATGAAGAGGAACTGACTGGCAATCTGCAATATTTACTGTAGAGAAGCATCCCAAGACAAGTATATAATAAAAAAAACCCCAAATGTGCCACAAACCCAAAGCACAAATACTCTTGCTGTTACATAAATAGATTTTTACAAGGCTTTGTGTCAAAACTGTGATGTCGGGTTTGCAATTTTCTTTTCTTTCCCTACTCGTGGTTGATGAAAGTTTGTTGGCAGAGCTCTTATAATTACAGACCAAACACAAAAGGAAGAAGGTGACTCAGCTACAAGAAACTGAAAATCAAAAACAGGCACGATAATTTTTTTTTCAATCAAAAGATTTTACTGTGAGGCACACCCAAAGGTTCAAAGAAGGAATGATACTGGGTTTCGGATGAGCAATGTGTAAGAACAGGAAGAAAAGAGGAAGAAGAAGAAGAAAATCTTTGGCTACTTCGAAAATTCCATCCTGCATCAAAATAGAATACCTAACAAGAATCTAGACAAAATCCTGTTTAAAACTGTATGTTCTTTCATACAAGAGCAGAGTTGTATTCCAGAACTTCTGAAGGTTGTACATCTGCTCGACTTCAACTGTCCTGTTCCTATGGGATAAAATATCAACACTACACAGGAGCTCTGCAAAAGAGTTGGCAGCTTGGGTGTGTTTTGTATCAGGTCTCCAGGGAGCTCTGCTACCAGACTGCTGTATGCATGAAGGCAAAGAGCCTGTGCTCTGGAGGGGTGCAGACAAAGCACCAGGAAAAGCCACATGCACATTAAGTTCAAAGGCATATGGTTCAAGGTGGTTTGGATCCAAATGCTTCACCTTCCACAGGAGCTCTGCCACGGTTGTAACACACTCCTCCAAAACAGACAACGAGTGCCTCCAGACAGGTGTCACCCCCACAACAGCCAGTCCTTCTCAAAGGACAGAGATAGTTCAGAACAAAGAGTACTATTTATCCTAATTAAAATCATACTTGTTCTTTATAGGGAGCTCAGCCTCCAGCCAGTGTAAAGACACTCAGCAGAAGTGGGCTGAACAGGCTGGTTCAACAGCAGTGGGGGCAGCAGCCTCCTTCCCACTCTGCTCTGGCAGTTCTGCTGACTCAGGCAGGGAAGCAAAAGGGGACAGGAAGCATTGGACTCACTGCTGGTGGGATATAGTCAGGTGCTGCAGGAAGATTGAGATATGCAGACTGACTGCCCTGTGCATGTGTAGATCCATCCATGCCATAGGTCAGGAAAAGGTGGGGAATGGCTGTAGCATGCAGCCCTTTGCCTTAGGAACCTGAGATTGTGTGGCTTGCCAAGCGGGAAGGATTGGGTGCAACTGGTATAAATCTATCTTTTTATGACAAAGGTGGGGCACTTAATTGCATTTTCTATTCACACAAGTTGCATACTACATGTCACTTATTTTAAATGCTGCAGGAGTAGACTAGGATCTTCCTTTTTCCAAAGAAGCTCCTACTTTGCTTCCTTTGTAGGACCCCATGTCAGGATACAGTGTAGTAACTTACCAAATCAATACGAGTTACATTTCGGATTCCAAAGGCAATTGTGTAAACATCAAACTTATCATCATCAAAGGGCAACTCTTCAGCATTCCCAAGTACCCAGGACAAGCCTGTAGTGAAAGACAAGTCATAGAACTGAGCTCAGACTGCTCCAGAAAGGCTAGAACTTAGCTATTCTAGAAGGAATTGATTATTTTTAAAGTTATACTGAAAACAAATGTTTCCATTTTGCAGTTTTGTTAGAAGAAAGACACCTTGGCCTCTACTCATCAATCTTTCAAGACAGAGTAACTCATTTTGTAGATCAGCCAAAACACCATTCTGCACATACACACAGTGTGTAAATGCCACAAAGATTTTACCCAAAACTTGCATCATAGTGGAAAGCACTGTTGGCTGCCATTTGTTTGTGGCAAAGTTGTAAAAAGAGAATTTCTGCTCGAAGTGTAGCTATGGACAATTACTAACATCTTGCCATGCAATAATGGCCAGAACACTACCACATTTTGCTAGAAAGCTCCCACAGGCTGAGGAACATGAAAAGCCACACTCCTTCCATCAGCACTATCAGTATGTGATGCACTTGCAGTTGTGTTGCTTCCTAGTCCCCAAAGGATCAAGACAATGTCTGTCTTTGGGTTATTGGCAAGCAGACAAAATGCACAATCAGTGACTGTGCAACTCGTGCTCCTTTTCCCCATGCACAGCTCCCACTCTTCCTGAATGTACACAGGGAAACTGCAAAAAAACCTCTGTCCCTTACAATTTCTTGCTATCAGGAATGTTACTGCCACAGTACAATGCATTATTTACCTTCAGAGTAGCCAAGATGCTGTGCTTTCTGCTTCCCAACTTTTAACATTTCTCTGTTGATGTCACAGACCACCACTTGGGAATCCCCTAGTGAGTTAATTTTGTCCTTCTGGTAACTCTCAAAAATTTCCTGCCATGACAAATTCTGATGGTGTTTGAGCTTCCTCTGGAGCTGGCATTGTCGTACAGAGCGAACATAATTAATGAATCGAAAGGCAATGTCACCTGCAGTTGTATCAAAGGAAAGATACACATTTTGGAACATTTTCTGACTCCAGGAAGTTGAAACATAAGCCTTTGAACATCCAACTGACTTACTATTTCTTTTTAGTCATATATATTTAAAAAAACACCCCCTCAAACATACTGTAATAGACACAGAAAGAGTGTGTGTGGACATGTATATAGATAAAAGGGAACTTACTAAAATCAAAGTCCTTGAATTTACCTTCTACAAATTTACACAGTTTCCCATAACATATCATGGCAGGACTGTAACACTTTCAGACCCTTAAAGCAAGATATTACAAAACACAAAGATATCAGTTCTCAACCCTTCTCTGGGAAAGTCAAGTAGATGCTTCACTAGTTTTAAAGATAGGGAGCTAAGGGTGAGAAAAAAAACCCAGGAGGAAATGTAACTCTGAGCAGACTCAAACAGCTGAAAAACAGTGTGGCACTGTCATGTGGAACTCAACAAAATTATTTACCTGTTCCCCCAGCAACATCAAGGAGGAGTGTTCCTGGGCAAGGGTTCATTTTATGCATGAGGATATCCTTCCACACCCGATGAATTCCTAGAGTCATTGAATCATTCATTACATCGTATTTCTTGGCCACAGTTTCAAAGACCTGATAAACTGCAAAGAAAGGACATGGGAATGAGATGAAATTTACTTAAAAATGCTTATGTCTAAGTAAAACGAGCCCTTTATTGCCCTGTGGAGGTCTGTCCACTATGTGGAGCTGAAAAATACCACAGGAAAACTCATTAAAAATAAATAAAATGGAATCTGCTGAGCCTGTTGCCTGACAAGGGTCTCTGCAGAAACACAGCCTTCCCGAGCCGAGGGAAGTAGCAGCGATATTATTCACCGAGACTGCCGCTGGCGCCTCAAACACGGGCCCAGTCCCAGCACTCTGGAGAACGATCACCGGCTGCCGGGAGCGCAGCTCGGCTCCGGGCCCGGCCCGCCCGCTCCCGCCGCCGCCCTCACTTTTCTCCCTCCTCTCCTCCTCCGTCACGGTCTGGAAGCCGAAGTGCATCTCCGGCCCCGCGGCCAAGCCGCGCCGCGCCCGCAGAGCTCCGGCGGGCCGGGACAGCAGCGCCCGGCAGCGGCCCCGCCACAGCCGCACCGCCGCCATCTTCGGCAGCGCCGGGGCGGGGCCGCCTCCGCCGGTGCCCGCTCCACCGGCACGGGCCCGGGGGCCGCCTCCGCCCGGTGCCCTCTCCACCGGGACAGACCCGGGGGCCGCGCTCCGCCCGGTGCCGCTCCACCCGGGACGGACCTGGGAGCCGCGCTCCGCCCGGTGCCCGCTCCACCGGGACACACCCGGGGGCCTCCTCCGCCCGGTGCCCGCTCCACCCGGAGCGCAAGCCCAAGGGGCGCCGTTTCTCCCGGACGCGGTCACCGAACCCCCCGGTGCCACCGCTGCTCCGCGGCGCGACGGAACCTGTGCTGCGAGGACAAACGTGACGGGGAAAAAATCCCAAAAACCCAAACCAAACACAACCCTCACGGTGGACTTGAGTATTTTTGCAAATAGTTTTCTTCAACTTTATTTTATTTAGTTTTCTCTAGATTTCTAATTTTGCGATTTCCATCACTTAAGTGAAGCCTCGTGGGGAACGGGAGGGAGGGTTTGTGGTTCTGATGAATTACAAGAAGGAGTGAAAGATGCCTTGATTCCGGTTAGGAGCATTACAACACTTAGAAACCTTTCTCTTTTTTTTCTTTCTTTCTTTTTTTTTTTTTCTTCCCCAAAACCCATCCTCCTTATCATGTTACTTGAACATGCAGGAGTTCTGCCAGCTTTGTAGATACAAAGAAGTTACTTAACCCATTCTCAGGAGAGATGACATCATGCTATATAAAATCAGCCCAGGGACTGCATTCCCAGGGCATGAGCTGGGCTCCCTCACCCCGGACCTTCCTGCCATATTGGGACTTTTAGCACCATCATCAGACCACAGCACGATTTTCTCCTATTTTCCTCATATAATATTTTTTAAACTCTATGCTCTTTGCAGTAGGATGCCCTCCAAAGCATCATATTTGGTTTTGCTGGGTATTTTTCTCAGCCTGAGCTATAGTGACAGATGATCTTTGCCCACCCCAGCAGTGACTGGGAGAGTCCCTCAGCAGGGACAGACACGGCATGGACACCAGTGACCAGCTGCACTCACGGAGTCACTGAATGGGTCAAGCTGGAAGGGACCACTGTGGGTCATAGGGTCCAACCTTCCTGCTCCTGCAGGGTCATCCCAGAGCAATGGCACAGGACTGCGTCCAAATGCTTCTGGAATATCTCCACTGAGGGAGACTCCACAACCTCTCTGGGCAACCTGTTCCAGAGCACAGTCACCTGCACAGTGAAGAAATTTTCCTTCTCACTCAGGTGGAACTTCCTGTGCATCAGTTTCTGCCTGTTGTCTGCCTCTTGTGCTACTTCTCAGCACCACTGAGAAGACCCTGGTCCATCCTCTGACACTCACCCTTTAGATAATTATACACATTAACGAGATTCCCCGTCAGCTGTCTTTTCTTGAGGCTGAACAGGCCCAGCTTCCTCAGCCTTCCTCACAGGAGAGACACTCTGGTCCCTTAGTCACCCGTGCTGCCCTCCCCCGGCCCCGCTGCGGGAGCTCCGTGTCCCGTCCTGGGAGCCCCGAGCCGGACACAGCACTCCAGATTTCCAGATGTGCCTCAGCAGGGCTGAGCAGGGGGGCAGGATCGCCTCCCTGACCTGCTGGCAATGCTCTTCCTAATGCTCCCCAGGACTCCATTGGCTTTCTTGGCCCCAAGGCACACTCCTGGATCAGGGACAACAGTTTGTTGTCCGTGAGAACCCCAAGTTCCATCTCCACAGAGCCTCTTTACAGCCGGTCAGTGCCCAACCTGCACCGGCGCTCGGGGTTATTCCTTCCCCTTCTTCCTTCCTGCGTTCAAGCAGCTCAGCCGTGAAGAAAAAAACTAAAGCGACGGGGAAGGGCTGCTCACGGCGTGAGAGGCACCAGTCCTGCCTGGGCCGGCTGGGCCGGCGGGCCCGGGGCCGCCTCAGGGCCGTGCCCGCTGCGCATCACCGCGGCGCCGGTCGCCATGGGAACGGCCGCAAGGCATGCCGGGCTGAAAGAAATTGCTGCGGCAAAACCCTGCAAGAGCGCCGGATCGGGGCCAATAAGATCTCGGGGTGATAGTAGCGGTGACCAATGGCTGACGGCCCGTGCTGAGGGGGCGGGGCTGGGGGCGCTCGGAGGCGCCGGCGGCGCGCGCGGGTCGGTTAAACAGCCGCGGCGGCGGAGCCGAGTGCGTGCATCGCTCCGCGCCGTCCCGCACCGTCACCGGCTCTGCATCCGCACCGCCCGCTCGACGGTGAGGGCAAGGCCTTGCCGGCCTTGAGCATTGGTCAGGGGCAGCTGCCCAGAGGGGCTGGGTCCGGGTCCGGCTCGGGAAGTCTGGGACTGGGCAGCCCCCCGTGCCGGGGCTCTTCCCCGGCCGCCGCCTCCGGTGTTCCCGCATCGCCGGCAGCTGCCGGCGGCACCCTGCAGCCGCGCGGGCCTCCGAGCCCTGGGCCGCGCGTGCCGGGCTTTCTCCGCCTCGCTCGGGGGAGGGAAGGGCCGTCGGGCCGGGCGATGGAGCGGCCGCGCTCTCTCGCGGAGCTGCCGGGCGGGAGCGGGGCCGGGGAGGGCCGGGAGGGCGGCGGTGCTTGTGTGGCCGCGGCCGGGGAGCGGCTGCTGAGCGTGAGCCGGCGCTGGAGCCGCCGCTGCTCGGGCCGTGCCCGGGGCCGCGCCCGGCGGTGCCTGCGCGGCTGCTTGGCAGCAGGTGGTGATGGCAGGTGCTCCTGCAACTTTGAATTTCCTTCTTCTTTCCTCCAAGCAGGCAATCATGAGTGATCGAAAGGCAGTGATCAAAAATGCGGACATGTCAGAAGAGATGCAGCAAGATGCTGTGGAATGTGCAACTCAAGCTTTAGAGAAGTACAACATCGAGAAGGACATTGCTGCTCACATAAAGAAGGTAAATGTTGGCTTGTAATGTTCTCGTGATTTCTCTGTGCACATGAAAAATCAATTGGGGAGAATGCTGTTAGGCAAGTAGTGCTAGAAAAACAAGTTCTAGAGATGCTAGGTAATCAGGTTGGACTTTCTCTTTAGGCTGATGTCCATGTGTTCCTTTACCCACCCTTTACGGGCCCTTTCTGGGTGCTGCTTTTTTCTTGCAGTGCTTTCTGCTTACGGCCTTTTTTGCCACTGTCTGTTGTCCACGTGAGGACAGAGTGGCACCTGACTGTCCCTGTGACTGATGAGCTGGTACAAAACACAGGGACTCTATTGAGCTCTCCTGTGGTTTGCCTCTGAGAGGTAGCTTGTTCTTGGTTTCGTTTGTATTTAACTTAATCTTAAGGATCTCTTTACAATTCTTGCCAGCTGGATCAAAAATAGCAGGGGAAAAGTAGTTTTCTGCAATTCTCTGTAATCACACCTCTCACTACATAGTGATATAAGCAAAAAAGAAAAAATATTGGTGGCACTGGTTATCTGTTATTTGCAATATCTGTGTCATCCTTTATGTAGGATTAACAATACATGAGAAAGATCTAGTTCAGATTATATTTCCTGCTTCGTCAGCTCAGGAGAACGGAGAAATCAAAGTGCGTCAGTAGAAGTTAAAGCGATCTGAGTGGAAGAGCTGTTGAAATGTTGAGGCCGATTGGACTGAAACTGTCTGGAGTTAACTGCTTGGCATGAGGGGCTAAGTTTGATAAGGGTTTAGGCCACAAGCTGTGAATTTTCACATAGATATGTTAACTTTTTTCTGACACTCTGAAAAAGGGCCTCAAGAGCTGGTTCAAGCTGGAAAATAAGGAAGTTATAACTGTCAGCAGAAATCATAACATGACATAAAAAAGACTGTCCAGAGACAATGAAAAAAAACAATAAAGAACAAGAAGACCCCAGACCCTAATGTTATTTGTCAGAACTGTGAAGGGTGGGAACTGAGACTGGGAGGGTGTAATTGCCTGGCAGTTTCTTTGTCCGGGGTCCTTCTGAAGGCACCCAGCTGGAGCTGTTCTGCTGCTGTACCACTCAAAGCCTGGGGCTCTGCTCCAGGATACCTGGGGTGGAGGTGACTTGAAAATTTGGGATACTTGGGGTGGAGGAGCTTCTCTAACATGAAAAGTAATTCATCCATGCAGAATGATTGCTTCTGCTAAATAAATACTTGTTTGCTATGACCAGAGTACTGAAAGGTTTTTTTTCTCCAGAAAATCACCTATGAAAGTTGAAAAGAGGTTTAGTACTTTTCAGATATCCTTTGTTGCAACTACTGGGAATTTATAGAGGATTAGTTTGAAAATATGTAAAGCACAACTGCTTAGATTTATTGATCATACTGTTGTTACAGAGCATGTGACAGAGAATTTTCTGTTTAGTAACTTTGCTGCTCATAAACAATGAAATCTAAATTATGGCTTTGTCCCTGTGGGTATGAAACTAATTATCTTTTATATGAGAATTGTGGATTCAATCATGTTATAAATTATGGGGGAATAGAAGATTACTTTCCTTCAACAAAAGTAAAGTTTTAAACTTACTGCTGCTCAGTTAGGAAGCACTGTGGGGTTTTTGTGTGTCTGACCAAGCAGCAGGTAAACAATAAGATGTAAATAAAATAATCCTCGTGCTTAAAGAGCATCTGTTCTTCCTCTGATTGCCTTGCTCAGAAGGTGAATAACTATTAGATGAGTTCTTAATTTGTAGTGATCTGTTTTGCAGGAGTTTGACAAGAAATACAATCCCACTTGGCACTGCATCGTGGGAAGGAATTTTGGCAGCTACGTGACTCATGAGACCAAGCACTTCATCTACTTCTACCTCGGCCAAGTCGCTATTCTTCTTTTCAAGTCTGGTTAGAACCATGGACTGTTACTGAAACTTGCGTCCAGTTACAGGACTCTCTGACCAGTAACTGCAGCCTTCCTGAGGACACAGGCCTTGATCTTCAAGGGCAATGGCAGGGATTATGTTGTAACAGATGACATTACATCGTGGATATAAAAAGGAAAAGTACCAAAAAAGTCTTCCTTGTATTTATTTTTTTCCAGAAGGCTCCTCCTTTGCTACTAGAGCTGTTGGAGCAGTTTTGCTTTTTGCAAGTTTTATAGCCATCTACTGTATTTCCTGATTACTGCTAGTGCTATGCAAGTACTGACAGTGTGTTTAGCTCTTTATGTTCCAGACTTCTCTTATTATTTTCATTTTACTTTTATAAAATAATTTCCCCCCTCTATTTTTGCTGGATGTGCTGTCCCAAAACCTGAGTTGTTTCTTTTTTCTGCTGTCTCTGGTGAAGTGTACTGGAGAATAAAAGCCAAGTTCTACCCCAGCCAGGTTGTTATTTCTGGCCGATTTGTATGTTGTGGTGGTGGTGGATGGCTGGGGCCGTGGGGGAGTGCAGCCTGAGGGGTGTGGGGGGCTCTGTGTGCGGCCTGCAGTGCTCCCACTGCAGCCCACAGGCCTGGCCTCCATCGGGATGTGGGAGACTCGGTACCGGGCAGGGAGCGGGGCCGCCCCTGCGGGCCTGGCAGCAAAGGACAGCGGCTGCTCGAGGAGCGGGAGCCCGGGGCGGTGCTTGTGTGCCTGTGGGTGGCGGGGCTTAACTGAGCCCGCGTGTGAGCAGCTGCTGCTCGGCCCCTGCCCTGCCCCTGCCCCTGCTCCTGCTGCTCGGCCCCGGCCCCTGCCCCTGCTCCTGCTGCTCGGCCCCGGCCCCTGCCCCTGCTCCTGCTGCTCGGCCCCTGCCCGGCCCCTGCCCCTGCTCCTGCTGCTCGGCCCCTGCCCGGCACACCCTGCCGATGGTGGCACCGAGGGCACGCTGGCAATGACAATAGCTGAGGGGCTGCTTGGAAGATGGGCCTGCCAGGGGCTTGCTCCTGCAAACAAACCCTCTTCACTGGTTGAAACAAAGAGCCATGTATGATCAGGCAGCTGTGGTAGAGGATACACACATGCTAAAGAAATGGAGCAGCAACTTCTGCAGGGCCCGATTGGGCTGTGGAGAAATGGGAAGTTGAAAGAAAAATCATGGTCATTACAAAGAGGATAAATGATTGATTGCAGTAGCCTTTCATGGAACACTATCCACACCAGACATGAAGGGGGAACAGTTGGAAAAATGAAATACTGTGATCATGTGATACTTTGGTCTTTTCCTGGGGCCTGGTGTCACCTCAAAGAAATCTCCAAAATCCAGACTACTTGAATGCTGAGCTAAATACGTAAGTCACCAAGGAGCACAGTGGTTAGCCAGGCCTGCGCTCTGTCAGGGACAAATAGCTACCGTAGCCCTTGGCCTGGGTCGAAGCCATCTGTCTGTCCCATGTCCCACTCCTGGTGACGTACTGCAGGGAAGGAAAATATGTGGAGCCTTTAAGATAAGCCCAGTGTCCTCTGCGTATTTCCAGTAACCCCAGACTCCGCTGATAGCTGCTGTCGTACTGAGAAAAAACTCAGAAACTCTTCCCAGTGCGGGCTCAAAGCTCCTTGACCAGGTAATGGCCAGCCAGACCAATAGAACGACCCAGGCTCTTGTTCAGCAAACGGTGCTTTCAGGAGCAGCGGGAGGCTTTTAGTCGATCCCCTCCCTGCTCACTAGAGCGTCCACAGCATTACAATTGTTTCAGGCAGAGAGAAGCCGCAGCCGCTCTCCCTGGTGCCCCCGGTTTACCGGGGCCGCAGCGGCGTTCCCGTCGCCATGGGAATGGGAGCGGGCGCGCGGCACGCCGGGCTGGCGAACGCCCCGCCCATCGGCCCGCGCCTGACCAATGAGATCTTGGGGAGCTCCTAGAGGTGACCAATGGCCGACGGCCGGTGCGCGGGGGGCGTGGCCGGGGCGCTCCCGAGCGATGGCGGCGGAGGTGGAGCCGCGGGCGGGGCTGGCGGAGCCGTGAGAGGAGCGGCGGGGCCTTCCCCGGCCCGGCCTTCCTTCCCCGGCCCGGCCTTCCTTCCCCGGCCCGGCCTTCCCCTGCCCGGCACACCCGGGCAGCGCTGCCCGGACGCGGCGGAGGCGCCGAGCGGCGCCCCAGAGCGCGCTGGCAGTGACAGTACCTATGGGGCTGCTTGGCGGGTGGTTCTGGCAGGGAGCTGCTCCTGGAACTTGGAATGCTTTTTTATTATAGGTGACCTGTTTATTTTGTGAGCTGTTTGAACTACATGGTTGTTTTTATTTGGGGGAAGACTTTCTCGTATTTATTCCCACAGCAAGCTAATTTGCTAATAAAAATGTTGTGTTTTCTTTTTAAAGTTTTGTGTCTCTCTACTCTTTCTGGTACTGCATGTGCTGTTTCTTGCTTCTTTTCAAATGCAGAGGAACAACTTTCTTAAAGTTGAGGGTTTTCACCCCCCTCAAATCCAAAAGATCTAAACACTGTGGTAACTACACTCCCAGTTTGATCAGTAATTCTGAGAATAATAGACCTAAATAGGGAACAATCAGGTGTTAAAATAAGACCTTTATGAGGCTTTTCTTAAAATAATATTTATAGTGGATTTATTTGAAACATGTAAAACACAAATTCGTGGATTTGTTGATGATACCGGTGGTACAGAGCATGTGGTCTGTGCACACAAAACAGTTTTACTTGCGGGGCTGTACATTCAGACCGTGGTATGAATTACGGGGTAAAGATGCCCTTACATGCTCCACCTGTACTTTTTTTTAAGGAGCTGGGAATTGCTCTCCCACATAACTTGAAGCTCTCATCCCTAAAATAATAGAAAAGGCACCAGGAGATGCATTTAATAATGCATTTTAAAGGTTAAAAGAAATGTCTTTCGGATCTGAGTTGCCGTGTGGGTTTTTCCCCCTTTTACTTTGAGGGAAAAGTTAAAAAATATCACTTCAAGTAGGCCTGATGAGATTTAGTTTATTTTTTAACTTTTACGGTTATTTGCTACAAAGCGATAGCAATGATTTTGTACCAAATGACTTTCTGTCCTGCGGAGGTGGGGGCGATCCCGTCGGTGCCGGTGGGGCCGAGGGGCGGGCGCCGGGCTCGGCCCGCCCGCGGCTCCCGGCGCGCCCCGCGCGGCCCAGGACTACAAGTCCCGTCATGCCCGCGGGCCCGCCCGGACCGGCTGCATCCGGGTCCGGCCACTGCTGCGGGCGACTCGTCGCCATTACGGGGCAGCGGCGGCCGAGCCGGGGCCGGTGCGGCGCCGAGCAGCCGGTGGGTGCCGGGGTGGTGCCGACCCCTCGGGCGGCAGCAGCGCCGGGCCCCGCGGGGCTCCGTGAGCAGCTCTTCTTTCCCCCGCGCCCGGAGCCCCGCAGGCCCGGCCCGGCCTCCCGCGGCCTTCCCCGGTTCGAGCGGAGCAGCGAGAAGATGTCGCCATGAAGGAGGCCGAGTCCGCGCTGCGCCGCCCCCGCCGGTCGCCCCCGCGGGCCATGAGCCTGGGCCCCCGCCGGCTCCGCCAGCGCCCGTCGTGCCCCCCCGCCCAGGGCCGCCGCTCGCCCGGGGCGCCCGTTGATGCTGCAGAGCCCGCCCGGCGCCACCCCCGCAGCCCCCGCCATGGACAAGAGCAGCCCCTGCGGCTCCGGTGCGCCCGGATCCTCGGCCGGCAGCAAAGGGCAGCAGCCGCGGTCCGCCTCGGCCGGGCCCGCCGCGGGGGAGTCTAAGCCCAAAGGCGGTGAGCGCTGTGAGGGGGCTCCGCGGGGAGGGGGCGAGCGGGGCACAGACGGCCTTGTGCCCCCCTTGGGTTTGTGGTGAGGCTCAACTTCGCCTCGGCGGGTTGTTTGTGTCTCAGCTGCGTTTAATAGGCGGCGTTTCAGGTCACTGCCTGTTTTTGGTTTCTTTTTCCTTCCTCTTCCGGCTTTGCTCGCTGTTTGGCGAGCTGGGATTCCTGCTCTCCTCTTCCTTTAAGGATTAATGCTTTATCTTCATTAGTATTGGAATAAGCAGCTTGAGCGCTAAAGCCCTGGTGCTATAGTAAGACCATACATTCCCCAGTGCCTGTGAACAGAGCCCTTAACTTTATCTTGTCCCTGTGTTGTTACACCTCCCCGAGGGGGTCTGGTGTCGCGCACAGCATTCCCCTCGCCCCCGTGTTTCAGTGAGCTGCTTTGGGGGAGCTCGGGGCTAGCTGGCTGCTGTTTGCTCCTCTGGCATGCAACCCAAAGTGTCTCACCTGGGATTGCAAACAGCTGGTTCTGCTGACAGAGCAGTTTGTCAGAAGCCAGTGTGGTTCCTGTCGTCATTTCAAGGTAATACTTAAGCCCACATAGCTCTCTGAACTTGGTTAGGAAGTTAGGAAGAGAGTGAGTGTGTGAGGGTCCCTGGCAACCTTTTTTTTTTCTTTTTCTTTTTTTTCCCTAAAACCTATAAATGGGGCAGTAGTGATTAAAATTGGTGATTTTAGTCCTGGAAGTATGTGAGAGAGTGTCAACAGGTTGCTACACCACCATTGCTGTACTAATTTCCTTCCTCCTCAGTGGTTTGTTTCAGCTGTATTACTTGAGGCCTCTGAGAGAGTAGGAGTGCAGTCCAGAGGGTTAAGAAAATAAGTATCTTGGAGGTGTTTGTTGACTCCTTTTTGGACCTTCTAAGCATGGTCATGTCCTGGGTAACCAAGTATTACCTGCTCTTCACCTGTATTAATTGGCGTTCTCCAGGATTGACAGAAGTGGGACATGGGAGGTGACTCACCCACAGCTCCCCAGGTTGTGGTGTAACTGTGCAATTACAATGAGATTTTAACTTCGAATTCAAACACTTGGAAGTCTTTTTAAGAACTTTTTCTGTCCTTGTCTTGCCAAGAGACACCTCCTCACTCCAGCTTCTTTTATAGCGGTGTGTGATGCTCTGTGGAGGATTGTTCACAGAATGCAAACATCTTTCAGGAAGGGGTTAAGATGATGTGTGCTGGGGCTGGTATCCCTTCGTGTAGAAGACACAGTATCTGGAGGATATCTGAGGAAGGATGTAAAAGGCCTGTTGTTCCAGCCCAGAATAAAAATATTAAGTGATTTTTGTGGAGTACCACCCTTGACAGGTTGGAAATAATGGCACTGGTAGCACAGGAGCAGTGGGGAGAGGAAGCCTGATGACTGTTCTTCTCTACTCCAAACTTATAATTAAATAATCACTCAAAGTTTTTAAGACTTTTTTTTTTTTTAATAAAACAGTGGAAAAATTTGTCATAGCATAATTCCACTTTAGTGATACTTGTTTCCAAACTACAGTGGAGGGAGAGGGATAAAAGTTTGTAAGACTTTTTTTTTTGTTAATAAAACAGTGGAAAATTTTGTCATAGCATAATTCCACTTTAGTGATACTTGTTTCCAAACTACAGTGGAGGGAGAGGGATGAGTTGCTTCCATTACAGGGCATCAGA